ATATATATATGATCACGACATATCGTTATGCGAACATATGCGTAAGTCAATATGGGTGACCGACTGATGAGGAGTATCGAGGACAGTGTTATGGCAAGTGGTGTTATTGTAGCTGACGGTGATGATGTTATCAAGTGATCATGTTATTGCATATGACATTGTTATTGCTTTTTGACATTGTTATGACAGATGACAATGTTATTGTAATTGAAGATGTTATCGTAAGTGATCATGTTATTGCATATGATCATGTTATTGCATTTGACATTGTTATGACAAGTGACAATGTTTCGTAATTGTCGAAGCATGACTAAGCGGCGGAGCCCATTTGGGAATGCTATGTTCGCCCCCAAGTAGAACACCGACGGCGGGATCCAGTGGGTGAGTATATAGTGTTAGCAGTGGGGTCGCTAGTGATTAGATATGGGCAGAATCCCTAAACCGCGGTGATGGGTCGAGCATAGCCAAAAAGAGTTTGCTCCGCCACGGAAGTACTATGTTCCGCTCACAAATCTATTGAATTCATCTGAGTTGTATGAATGCAAACTTATGAAAGTAATTAGTTACAAGACAACGAGGTTGTTTAGAGAGAGCAATAATGGATCGACAATGTACTGAGGTGAGGTGGTCCGGGTGATGTCAGACGACCGTTCAGATGATGACCCGCGATCGAACTGACTGTTGAGGTTGGTGGCAGCTGGGTGCCGCCCTTGTCACTTGGACCATTTCTGTCTAAGGTCCTCGAGCCTCTGCGATACCACTTGCTCTCTAAGGTCGTAGACCATTTGCGCTGCCTAAATTATCATGTAATTCCCGAAAAGATAGCAAAACTCCGTTGGGAGGTTTGCTATAATAACATATATATTAAAGAATGCACAGAGTCTCTTGATAAACAATTAGAGTTCGTAATTGAAAATATTGTTTGCATATGACCATTTACCTAATATATCGTGTTGGTGGTAGTCACCAACTTCATGATGAATGAAGGACATTTGTCTTCAATTTTCAGCTTTCGTTTGAGGTGATTGATGTATATCTGGCTTGCAGTGACTCGTGGTTGCCTGCGAATACCTCATTTCAGGCGAGATGGCCGAGCGGTCCAAGGCGCTGGTTTAAGGCACCAGTCCCTTCGGGGGCGTGGGTTCGAATCCCACTCTCGTCAGCTTCTTTTGATAACGAGAGTTACAATAGAGTTACAATACAGCATCAATAGAGGCAACGTAATCTGTCACCTTTAGTGAGTTATCTGGGGTATAAAGCATGGCCTGCCGCATTCAGAACCGAACTAGCATGGCGAGATGGCCGAGCGGTCCAAGGCGCTGGTTTTAGGCACCAGTCCCTTCGGGGGCGTGGGTTCGAATCCCACTCTCGTCAGCTTCTTTTGATAACGAGAGTTACAATAGAGTTACAATACAGCATCAATAGAGGCAACGTAATCTGTCACCTTTACTGAGTTATCTGGGGTATAAAGCATGGCCTGCCGCATTCAGAACCAAACTAGCATGGCGAGATGGCCGAGCGGTCCAAGGCGCTGGTTTTAGGCACCAGTCCCTTCGGGGGCGTGGGTTCGAATCCCACTCTCGTCAGCTTCTTTTGATAACGAGAGTTACAATAGAGTTACAATACAGCATCAATAGAGGCAACGTAATCTGTCACCTTTACTGAGTTATCTGGGGTATAAAGCATGGCCTGCCGCATTCAGAACCAAACTATCATGGCGAGATGGCCGAGCGGTCCAAGGCGCTGGTTTTAGGCACCAGTCCCTTCGGGGGCGTGGGTTCGAATCCCACTCTCGTCAGCTTCTTTTGATAACGAGAGTACAATAGAGTTACAATACAGCATCATAGAGGCAACGTAATCTGTCACCTTTACTGAGTTATCTGGGGTATAAGCATGGCCTGCCGCATTCAGAACAAACTATCATGGCGAGATGGCCGAGCGGTCCAAGGCGCTGGTTTTAGGCACCAGTCCCTTCGGGGGCGTGGGTTCGAATCCCACTCTCGTCAGCTTCTTTTGATAACGAGAGTTACAATAGAGTTACAATACAGCATCAATAGAGGCAACGTAATCTGTCACCTTTACTGAGTTATCTGGGGTATAAAGCATGGCCTGCCGCATTCAGAACCAAACTAGCATGGCGAGATGGCCGAGCGGTCCAAGGCGCTGGTTTAAGGCACCAGTCCCTTCGGGGGCGTGGGTTCGAATCCCACTCTCGTCAGCTTCTTTTGGTAACTAGAGTTACAATACAGCATGATTCTTGATTTTCTTCTTTGAGCAGAACACGAGGTGTTACATTAAACTTTATTCGATAGCTGATGTTTCGGCAGTTCGCCTTCTTCAGAGCCTGGAAAGGTAAAAATGTTTGCAATACAATCAGTCAAACACCTCCATTACTTCTTTAGAGAAAATCACCGGACCTAGATTTCAATCGCATCAAGCAAAAATCAACACTCAACATACTCACCGCTTGGGTCCAAGCTTTTCACCATCTCAACCCCATTTCTAAGGTGTCCTTGCGCAAGGTTGCATGTGGTTTACATGATTTGCAAGATCAACTCCGTAAAAAGGCCAGAGTTTAAGAGACTAATAGGAATGAACAGCAAGTAGAGGCACTAATACCACCATTTCCTCAGCCGTTCTATAGACAAACAAGACCCCAACGAGGAGGTAGATAGAAAATTCCGGAAATTTGCGGACGAAACTTTAGAACCCTCACTCACTATAGCAGGAGAAGATATCAATCGAACCTCACCGAACTACAAAAACGTGGTCATGAAAGAGGTTCGAGAGTTGATAAGCGAAGGTAGGATAAGGCTATCAGTTAGTGATAAGGGTGGAGAATTTGTTGTGATCCTCGACAGTTAGACATCGCAATTAACGAGCAAGCATCTCGAAGATGCTTCGCTTTACCGATCATCTTCTGTAAAGGAATTCAAAAGGCAAAACCGCAAATCAAACAGTGAGTGGGTCCGTACGGCAAAAGCGGCAGGCTTAAGACCATCTATCATTTCTCAATTAAAAAATCCAGTCACCAACATATCCTGTCTTATAGTTGCTTATAAAAACACATAAGTTAGTGTCCACTGATGATCTGATGTCTAACGATCCATCTATATTCAAAGTTAGACCTATCATCAGTTGTGTAGGCGGACGCGACGGATAGGATAGCATGGTTCTCAACGTTTAATAACATCCCTGTTGCTAGGACACATTCCAGCCCATCTGACAAACACTCAGATGTTCCTGGATCGTCTACGTAACGCGAACCCGAACAACGCGTACGTAATGGAGTCATTCGACGTCACTGCTTTATATACCAACGTGTCGAATGACTCCGCATTGCAAGCCACACATGAGCTTCTTATACAACACCAGGGAGCTGTAAACATGTATGGCTTGACGATTGAGCAGTTCATGATCCTACTAAAAGAGTGCTTGAACTGCTCAATCTTCAGATGGTCCGGGAATTATTATGCTCAAACCAGAGGGCTGGCAATGGGACAGCGACTGGCACCTAGCCTGGCCATTGCCTTTATGTCTAAAGTGGAAGCACCAGTGATGGATCTCCGGCCATTACTCTACTGTAGGTATATAGATGATTGTTTGATTATCGTTCCACTCAAGAGGAGCTGGATGATTGTTTTAGATTGCTGAATGAACAGTCAGAGTATATAAGATTCACCCGTGAGATACCAAAAGACGATTGGCTTCCATTCTTGAACGTGCAAATAAGCTTAACTGAGAGCGGCTACATAACGAAGTGGTACCGAAAGCCAAGTAGTAAGAATATCTTGGTTCACTATCTCTCTTCTCATCCCTCACATACGAAGAAGGCGCTAGTAAAAAACATGTTTCGAACAGCAGCCAATGTATGTACCGGGGAGGAGCAGAGAGTAGAATCCGTGAAATTGGCGCGGGAAATAGCCACTTCTAATGGATACGAATTCGTAGCCCCTCGGCTTAGGTTTAAAGGAAATAATGCGCCTCCGAACGAAAACTTAGTTGAAAGGAAAGTCCCGTTTATCATCCCGTTCTATTCAAATGAGATTAGTACAGCTATAAAACGATGTTTGAAAAGAGCGGGTTAGAGCAATCGGTGGCCATTATTGAAATACCACCGAATACTCTAAAACGCCAACTAGTTCGCAACCGCTTATATGACCGTCTCTGTATGATGAAAGATTGTAAAATATGTCCTAACGGCAGAGACGGTGATTGCATGAGCGTAGGTACAGTCTACCTAATCTCTTGCAAAGCGTGTAGTGATAAATATGTTGGCGAAACGGGTAGGCCGCTCTATGCACGCATAGAAGAACACCTAGCTGACAAGCGTCTTAATAGACAAAACACCCCGCTAGGGACGCATAGAGCACAGAAGCACGACGGAGTTGATTTTGAAATCGAAGTCACCATCCTTGCGCAGGAGCAAAAAACATCAGCGCGAAAGATCTTGGAAGCATTTTGGATTAATACGACCAATCCAACCATAAACCGCAGGGAGGAATGCCTTGTAAACACTCGTGATATGAGCCAGTATATAAGACTGTTGTTTTGATGGGTAGGGTGCATTACGAGCCTATGTGTCTCTCTTGCCGGTGATCTCCACTTGGATCATCCAGTGGAACACATATAAAAAGCGGTGAGTATGTTGAGTGTTGATTTTTGCTTGATGCGATTGAAATCTAGGTCTGGTGATTTTCTCTAAAGAAGTAATGGAGGTGTTTGACTGATTGTATTGCAAACATTTTGACCTTTCCAGGCTCTGAAGAAGGCGAACTGCCGAAACGTCAGCTATCGAATAAAGTTTAATGTAAACACCTCGTGTTCTGCTCAAAGAAGAAAATCAAGAATCATAACTGAAGCCATTCCGAGGTTAATTAGACAGTCGGTCTTGGGAGTTCTATCAATACAGCATCAATAAAGGCAACGGAATCTGTTACCTTCGATGAGTTATCTGGGGTATAAAGCATGGCCTGCCGCATTCAGAATCAAACTAGCACGGCGAGATAGGCCGAGCGGTCCAAGGCGCTGGTTTTAGGCACCAGTCCCTTTCGGGGGCGTGGGTTCGAATCCACTCTCGTCAGCTTTCTTTTGATAACGAGAGTTACAATAGAGTTACAATACAGCATCAACAGAGGAAACGGAATCTGTCTTCCTTTGATGAGTTATCTGGGGTATAAAGCATGGCCTGCCGCATTCAGAACCAAACTAGCATGGCGAGATGGCCGAGCGGTCCAAGGCGCTGGTTTTAGGCACCAGTCCCTTCGGGGGCGTGGGTTCGAATCCCACTCTCGTCAGCTTTTTTGTAACAGAGTTACAACTAGAGTTACAATACAGCATCAATAGAGGCAACGTAATCTGTCACCTTTAGTGAGTTATCTGGGGTATAAAGCATGGCCTGCCGCATTCAGGACCAGAACTAGCATGGCGAGATGGCCGAGCGGTCCAAGGCGCTGGTTTAAGGCACCAGTCCCTTCGGGGGCGTGGGTTCGAATCCCACTCTCGTCAGCTTTTTTTGGTAACTAGAGTTACAATACAGCATCAATAAAGGCAAACGGAATCTGTCACCTTTAGTGAATTATCTGGGGTATAAAGCATGGCCTGCCGCATTCAGAACCGAACTAGCATGGCGAGATGGCCGAGCGGTCCAAGGCGCTGGTTTAAGGCACCAGTCCCTTCGGGGGCGTGGGTTCGAATCCCACTCTCGTCAAACATTTTGCGGCTGATGAGATGTGGAGTAACCGAGATCGCTGATCGATTCCTATAAGATAGCAATAGATACTGACAGAAAAGCAGAGATAGAAGATCTTCACTCATTACGACGGATTTACACTAATCTTTTTACTTTTACGGTGTATGGCACCTGGCGTACAAACTTCGTTTAGGCTTTAGGCATCTTTTTGGAAATCTTTTACGTTTTTTTTTTTCAGTGTCATGATGCTCCAAATATTACCTCAAGAAAACTGAGTGGTGAGCAAAAACCTCATCTCAGTCGGGAGTGGAGCCCGCGTTTTCACATACCGGAGGCGCGCGCTACCGCGATACCACAGAGGCACATTGTGCTCCACCACGCAGTCTTCAATACTACACTATGATTGCTATCGGCTATCAACCTCTATAACAGGTCTGGTTGGCTATACGATAGCGCTTTATAACCCAGTTAAGCTAACATCGATTATGTTATGTAATACTCAGAGTGTCCAGTGTTTTTACCTGTTTTTTTCCCACTGTCATGATGATCCAAATGTACCTAGGAAGATTGAGTTGCTGAGCAAAAATCCGGCTTTAGACGGGGGTTGAACACGCGTTTCACCCAATCCGTGCTACCACTACACCACCGACATCTGTCCCACCATTCAGTCTTAAGTCGAATTTTTGCTCACCACTCAAGTTCTGAGATTGAAGCCGACAATTAGACAGAGAAGTGATATTTTTCTCTTGGGAACCTACAAATTTTCTTTCTCTCCTTTCCTGTTCTCGGTCTTTTGTCAGCACATAGTTGGCCAAATCTCATGAAAATAACCACACCTCAAGAAGGAGCGCTCAATAGGTGCAAGACACTGCGCAATACAGTGTAATTTTTTCAGCTCAATTATGTAGATTTACAAAGTCAATTGCATTTCAAGCAACGGGCTAAAATCATTAGCATATGCACTTTTGAATAAAAAATGACAAATGAACTTTCAAAAATGTGCCATCATCAATAAATGCCCAATTCTCTAGGCCCATAAAAAGACGAGTAAGGAGCAGAATATCTCAGGAAATCAACTTGATAAACTTTCAATTGAGTTAATCAACACTTTTTTGGAGTATTGTTTAAACGCGTTAAGCAAACCACCAGTTGCTTAAAAGTATTCAGGTTAGCTCCCAGTGTCTTCGAATTCCCTATAGCCTCCCTAAATCGAGTCTATCGTTCGACCTATACGAGTTGGAATGTGGGAGCTTGTTCTCACATAAGGTCGAAAAAATCCGGAAATGTACCCGAGCGATCACTTTCGATATGGGATTAATGTTGATCAACTGACTGCCAGTGGATATTATCAAGCTCCACTCAGCTAGTTTAGTTGCTGAAAACATTAAACTTATCAAAAAAAAAAAAATCATGTGCTCTTAGTATTTGGAAACGTTATATTTAATATATGATGTATACTGACGTAGATGTCAAAAGGATGATTTCCAACTTGTACTGAATTTTAGTAGCATTTTCGAATGGAAGTGTTCACAATAGCCTCAATGTTCATCTCCACATTAAACAAACAGATCTTTCTCAAAAAGCGGTCTCACGTAGGAGTCAAAAACGTGATTATCGCTGTTATAACCTACTTGCTGTTCTGTAAAAGTATTCTGGATCCTGTCTTACTCGTTTTGTGCTGCGTATAAGATATTGATCACGAATTCACTTCTCATGGACATGAAAATTCGACACAAAAACAGAACTAATATGCTTCCGAAGCATACCACAACCATGCCCGGAAAGGGAAAAACAGGACAAGGATTCATGCGGCCTCGAACGTTGATGAATTCCTCAGGAGATTGCTATCAAACAACATTCGCATCCTTTTATCAAGTAACTAGTGTAGATAGCATTGTTGAATTAACTAATGCCATAAATGCAAGCTTCAATACCTTCCTTTAGAACCATCCGGGAGTACGATGGCATAGGTGCTCTGGAGTTGATCAGCTTGGTCAAACAAAGATTCAGAACGAACGTGTCTCTTGGCTGACATAGCAATCCTCTAACCCAAGCCATATTGGCCTGGAAATAATTCAGCACGCACCCAGAATATAACGTTGAATTTTAATTCAGAGCAAGCTATACTCTCTTATGTAGAATTTTGCAACGCGATAAATTAACTAAGGATACGGTACAAATATACAAACAAATTACACACAACTGGAAATATACGCACATATCCTCATTGTTTTCTTCATCCTCGTTATTCCTCCTCCGTCCTATATAATTTAACATAAAATCTTACATCGTAAAACCACATAAAAAATCGCACACCGAATTATAAACTTCAGAAATATTTGCTTACAAAAATGAACTCTTACTTACACTCATCTCAACAAGTCTTATTATTGTGTCCATCTGATAATAAAAATTGAGTTTTGGTTAAATCATGAAAAACACACTTCTCATCAAAAAGCCCAGGACAAGCAACCGTACATGAACAGGTACTTGCTTACTGCCAATAGTAGATGCCTAGCTCGCTGCTGACGTCCATACTGAATGAATCCACAACATTACCGAAGTGGTACTATCTTCTTTTAATTGCTGATACGTGTTTGCATTCCAAATGCCGCGTTACACATATCCAGTTCTCACATAAATTCAACACCGTGAATTTTGAACGCAATACTGTACTTATGAATTTAAAATGTATATTGAAAGAACGAGAGTCCGAAATATAAGAATATATGTTCTTTAAGGACGAGTCAATAAACTCTGGCCTGTTGACAAACCTACATGCTGACTAGTCTCCCCTGAATGCGGTCTAGGAGACCCCAAATTAGCTTCTGTTACGGCAGGTCTCGTAATCCGATATCGATATAACAGATAAGCGATACAGAGGTAACTTCTAAGCTGTGCCGGTGCTTGGACACCTTAGTCACAAAACGTCGTGCAGATGGTATAGCCCTTGACCTTGTACATTCTGAAATTCTACATGAAAACTTTGTTAGTACTTTGGTCTTGTACTTGACAAAAACTAAACCTATCTTAATTCGAGCTGTTTCATCATAAACACTATAAGAAATCGTTCAGTATTCCAAAAGTCTATCCTTAGAGTATTTCTTCCTTCCTCTACCCAACTCATCAATTGTAAAAAAAGAATTAACCTAACAATGAACAGTGCACAAGCGCACATTCACAATTTTTCTACCCACGCCTCTCTGGAGGCCTGACAAGGAATATCTAAAAATTATCCAAAAATAACGCGAAACAATTTAGAGGAAAAAAAAAAAGAAGGCGACGTAGATATGCATTTGGCCTGAATCAAATTATAATTTACAACAAACAGGTAATAGAATCAGTGGGTCTTGAGCTTGTAAGTGCTCTCACTATCGCCACGGAGTGACAGTATCTAGACAATAATCAGAATCAAATCTAATTTAAAAAGCAGATTCATGCTAATTTGAGATTCTTTTTTATTGTTCTATGCCTTCTTTGCTGCTAGGATCCAATCTTTGTCCCATTTACTCCATCTGCAAAAAAAAAAAAAGATAAGTGTGTAGTAGCAGAAAAAAAAACAAAACAGGGTGCAATGTTGAGGGTATAAGAAGCCAGGACAAGTATTGATGTGAACTATTAGACACATCCCCCACCAGAGAAACAATGTAGCAAAACCCGCATTGCTGAAGAAGAGAAAGAGAAGGTAGCTTGAGAGAGACGATTGTGGAATTGAGAGCATGTAAAAACAAAGATAAACGAGGGAAGGGGTTACGAGATAGAAGGTAGTAGAGTGGTAAAGAAAGTAAAACATAGAAAATTGTAAAAAAGGGGTAAAGTGGGAGAAGGGAAGACCGGGAGAGTAGCGAGCGTGAGAAAGTAAAAGATGAAGCATAGTTATTGAAGGGATGCGAATGAGCAAATTGAGTGTTGTATATTCGGAAAATATAAAATGGAGAGGGAAAAGAGAGGTTAGAGGAGACAAGGAATTAAACAAATTATGGCATGGAACTGGACAAAAAAGGAAAATGAGACTGAAAAAGAGTAAGCGCATGTGATAAGATATAAGTAAAAAGAGGTGGAAAAGACGGAGGGTGATGGTTTCGGAGAGATCTTATAGAGAGCAAGGAGGGAAAGAGACTTTTGCAAGCAATGGGAACAGGCACTTGATCCAATAGTTTTACTATGTATTGAGATCTTTTACATCTGTACTTTATATGACAAAAAAAAACACCCGATGCATAAGAGGTGAAAAGAAAGATACTAGCGGGTAAGAGACGAATGCAACAAATCATTATAGGTCTGAATAATTACAAAAAGAGTCAAACGAAGCCTCACACACAGTGACAACGTATAACCATAATGTGGTAGAAAGTCGGGTAGGATGGGTAAAGAGATCTAAAGATCACTAC